GTCAGGCGTGATGACGTCATGCGAGTCACTAGTGATCACGTCACTAGGCCGAGTTACAGCTTTCAAGTTATTACCCTCTTAAAGACGTTTTGTTTGGTATGCATGAAGGCAGGTTACGGAGTGCTTGCGTGGGTGTCAGGCAAGACGACGTCACGCGAGTCACTAGTGATCACGTCACTAGGCCGAGTGACAACGTTTGAGTCATTACTCTCTCAAAGACGTTTCGTTTGATATGCATGAAGACAGGTTAGGACACTGCGTGCGTGTGTGATAGGAGTGATGACGTCACGTGAGTCACTAGTGATGACGTCACTAAGCCCAGTGACAGCGTTCAAGTTAATACCCTTTCAAAGACGGTTTGTTTAATATGCCTGAAGTCAGGTTAGATACTGCGTGCGTGGGTGTCAGGCGTGATGACGTCACCTGAGTCACTAGTGATCAAGTCAGTTGGCCGAGTCAAAGGTAACACGTTATTGCTCTCTCAAAGGCGTTTCGTTTGGTATGCATGTCGGCAGGCTAGTAAATTACGTGCGCGGGTAATATGGGTGATGGCATCCCCTGAGTCACTGGTGATCCGGTGGCTTGGCCGAATTTTACGTATCAAGTTCCTGCCCTTTCAAAGACGTTTCATTTGATATGCATGACGGAAGGTTAAGACAGTGCGCGCGTGGGTTGTATGCGTGAGGACGTCACCTGAGTCACTCGTGATGAGATCATTGGCCTGGTTAGTAGGTATCAAGGTGTTACTGTGTAGACGGCGTTTCCTTTGATATGCATGTCGAAGGTGTGAGTGCTTACGCGGGTGATAGGCGTGATGAAGTCGCGCGAGTCACATTGTGTCACTACTGACTCATTCGTGGTTTTTCCCTCTTAAATTCACTCCAAAGCTATTCACTCCACGCATTCCTGAAAATTCTGGGTCGTTTTGAAGTCACAAAGTCATCAGGATTAAATTCGCTGGCGTCTGTATAAATCGGCTGGCGGTTGGATTAATTTCAGTGGCACTTGGATTAAAATGAATGGCACCTGGATTGATTTGAGTGGCGGCTGGATTAAACTGACTGGCGCCTAGATTAATTTGGCTGGTGCTTGGATTAAATTGAGCGGGAAAACCTGTAGTTCACTGCGGCCCAACGCTCGCCCAGCGAGTATAACGTATCAACCCTTTCTTGTGAGATAGTGCTCAATGTACAAGCCAATGGCTGATAAGGGGGAATGAGAGACAGGAGAATTCGGCTTCTAATTAACGCGCACGCTCCGAATTTTTTTATTGTTCGACAACGCACAGAAGAAATCTCCCACCGGCGCCACCTTGGAGGTCAAAATGTAAGACTGGTTACACACTACTACTACGACTACGAGGGACGTGGCCCCTAAAACATCCGGAAATGTGTGCTTGAGACGCTCGCTTGTGAAACGCCGAGCAGAGAACGCTGTTTGTTTTGTTCCCTTAGAATTTTTTAACCTTGCACGATAGCTACTAGAGCTTGAAGCGCATACCGCGTTTCTCGCGACAGAAAAACACCACGTGCGGCGAACGGCATTATTGGCTGCACGGTGTAAGAAAAAAAAAACGATTCTTCGAACGCTGGGTTCTCACGTGTGAAACGCCATTATGGACGCTACACAAAGCATTCGCATTTCCTCGCAATTTTCTTCAAGGAGGTGAGGACAATTTTTTCTCCCCTGGGAGCAGCCATATTTCCCTACAATATCGCGTTTTAGTTTCGGGAGATCAGATGAAAAGGAGTCAGCAGCAGCCTAAGTTCGTTATGGAACTGAGAGCTCCTATCACACGGTGTGAAATGTGAAGTCGTCGAAGGGTTTTCTGACCATATTACTTTTGAAGTCACCTCAAACTTAGCGTGTTCCCCTCAAATACCCGAGATCAAAACTGTTTCGAACTTTCCTAAAGTTTATGACACTTCCGTACTAACACTTGGCCTCATAATTGAATATTGTAGAGAATTTCGCAATACACATGCGCTACTTTTTAAGTTTTGTGACAATGCCTATCAAAGTATATATGCTCCACGAAATATATTAAATTGGGCCCAGTACACCCATGCTACCATAAAGATATAACCCATCTCCCTCGTCACGTAAAGCACTTACATAAGAATCGTCATTCCAAGTATAATGATAATGCTTCTTGAGCTAATGCATTGAAATGTAAACAGAAGCCAAAACCAAGAGGCTAAAAACTATTACTCTAGCAATGCCTTCACTAAACTTCAAAAAAAAAAAAAATCCATCCAGATTCTAGAGGTCGATTAGTCCTGCATCATCTATGCACTCATCGTTTATTCTTGATGGCCAATCCTCCCCAAATCCTCAAGCTATAGCAAATGCCGTTAATATTTCTTTTGAATATGTTTTTTCCACCAATAATGGCAGCACTCCTTAACTTTCCGCGTGCAGCAAACTACCTGCTATTCCTAATCTTGAATTGAGCTTCTCTGTGAAGTGCACAGCCCCCCGCCCCGCCACGGTGGTCTAGTGGCTAAGGTACTCGGCTGGTGACCTGCAGGTCGTGGGATCGAATCCCGGCTTCGCCGACTGCATTTCCGATGGAGACGGAAATCTTGTAGACCCATGTGTTGAGATTTGGGTGCACGTTAAAGTACGCCAGGTGGTCGAAATTCCCGGAGCACTCCACTACGGCGTCTCTCATAATCATATGGTGGTTTTGGAACGTTAAACCCCATATATCAATAAAGTGCATAGCCTAAGAGTAATTTTGAAGTTACGAAACACTCTGGCCCAGACGGTACGCCAAGTATACTTCTAAAGTGGTACTCACTATACGGTGTGCTAATTTCTTACCGTAATATTTTAAAGTAAATATCTGTAACAGCTTTCTAACCGCGGAAATTAGCAAACATCGTGCCCTTAAGTCTGGAAACAAGCAAATACCAAATTATACACCAATATCTTTGCTTTGTATACCAGCTGCACACATTTCGAGCATTTAGTAAACAAATACTATATAGAAGACCTAACGCACGTAACATATTTTCCCGATCACAGCAAAGCTTTTGTGCTGGCAACACAGTTGCTTGAATTTACGCACGGCATTGTTCTTTTCTTAACGACTGAAGACAGATTTATGCCATATTTATTCACTATTCTAAGGATTTTAACATGGCTTTTATGCCAAACTTATAGCTTCTTCCCAATTTTTTGGCGACAACAAGGCGGTTGATTGGATAGATTACTTGCGATCGCACTCTAAATTCGTTACGTTTAACCACCTGAACCCATATGAAGTACAGGTCACATCAGGTGACGTAACAGATTATCAGCAACACCCAAATTAAACTTTAAATATATGCCTTATCTGTAAAATTGTAATACTCAAGATCAAAATGCGTTCATTACTGTTTCCTTTTTGTCGTTTTGTAGCAGGAGTAAAAGATGGCAATTGTCTAGTAACAGCAAAAATATTGTAGTCACGAGTCGTGACTACAGCATTTGAAAAGGTCGTGACTCACGACCTTTTCAAATAAGAAATGGACCCTTCATTTTGCATATACTAATGACGATGTAAGCGTAGTACGTGTCACGGAGTTTAAATACATTGATCTAACTCTCCGAGCAAATTTAAAGGGGCGCATTATTTCAGAACAGTCCATGATCTTCAAAAACTTGGGTATCTCCGACACATGTTAAGCAACTAGACAAAAAGATACGGACTGACAGTGCATTCGATTTCGGCCGAACTAGAATAAGGGTTGGTTGACATGGCATAGATATGCGAAAATCAGTTAAAAAATCAACAAAATCTATATTTTGTAGCTATGACCAGCGTTTCTTGAATACACTTCAAATGCAAATATTTTATCAGTGCAGCCCCCCAGTGCAGCCCCCAACATAGGAGCACTTGCGATCGTGTCATCCTTCTGCATAAATATGATAGTTCAGACTAGGTCAAGTGTTCTAGTACACATGTCCATTGCATCTTCTATCCATTGCATATCCATTGCATATCCATAGCTCACATATTCATTGCACCCAGTGATTTGATCCTCTAAATATTGTGGCCGTTAGATCAATTAAGAATTGTTCTCGTTTTCTTTTGTTTGTTGTTTGCTTTTCTGAAGAATATGAATTTTTGGAATGAGCTTGATGGGTGCCTGCACAGACTCAGTTCTGAGCAATTAAAAAAAAAGAACTGTGTGAACATTCATATTGTTAAACTGTATATTTTAATGGTGCAGAACATTCATAGTATTTACAGCTGCTATGTTTCGAAAACTGAAACAGCAGTATTTGTAAATAGTTAGCATTAAGGCATGCTGCTGCCACTTCAACCACTTTCCCCTTTTGGGAAATAAATTTTCTTCCGAATTCAATAAATAAGTTGCTGTCCCCAGTAACTAGTGGCTTGTGATCAGTTTCCACATGAAACTGCAGACTAAGCAGATAGAAGCAGAAATGCTCACAAGCCCTTGTTAGTGCCAGTGCCTCTTTCTTTATTCCCGCATATCGCGTCTCCATGTCAAAGAGGGATCTTGAGGAATAGGCAACTGAGAGTCTCCGACCAGCTGTCTCTTAAAAAAAAAACTGCTCCAAAACTGTATGACGATGCGTCCGTTGACGCAGTGTGACAAGTATAGGGGTCGTAGTAAGTGAGCATTGGAGTTGTAATCAAAACTTTCTTGGCGGCGTTGAAGCTTGCTTTCGGAGACCACTACAGACTTTCTTTGATGTCACGAGTATAATGATGTAGAATAATTATAGTACAGTATAGTCGCAAGCCTCTGCGGAGAGCAAGTTTTGTCCCTGAGCCGACTTGTACGACAGAAGCTGCGTTAGCACAGAGTTTAAATGCATGCAATAGCCCATGGCTGCGACTCTACGGTGGTACCAAGATCTTGCTACACATCTTTTGACATGCCAGAGTAGCAAGCCATGGATTCCATTAAATCCGAGACTCTGGCACAGTTTGATGCGACTCACATGGACTTTATCAGGATGATGTAAGAGACACAAGAGAGTAACATTAAAGCAATTTTCTTTATTAAAACAAAACAAAAGTATGAAATGCTTGTTCCATAGCATATGAAAATGTTAAGGGGGCGGACTGGTCTTAGACATTTTTTTTTTATTTCTTCAGTGATCTTGATAAAACTGCATAGGGTTATACACTTTTTTCTGCTGATTTCAAATATGTAATGAGTTTTCCTGTCACTCACTTTGTTGCCGAGATAACTTAAGTTCACTCCCTATTGTTTAAGGCCACCATAGAAAAAAAAGTGCTTAATTAAAAGTGATATTTAGGATATGCCAACATAGACTAACGACTATAGAGTGAAAGTATGGAAGAGGTTTTTGTTTTTAGACCTTTATTGGTTATTTTGCAGCAAAATGAACTATACATTTTCAAAAGCAGTTGGAATTGTGTTACAATTTTGATTAGTAATTAATTAAACAGGCATGTGCTCTAAATTTTGCTCCCATACTTGCATTCTACACACATACAGGTTTCCACTGCAAATAGAAATATTGCTGTACCTGCCCTAGCTGCAGAGATATCGAGGCCTCAAAATTGAATAGTCACAAATTTACTTTTTTGAGAAAAATGGAAAAAACTGAAAACACACAGTTTCTTCAAAAAGCAACGATCATGGTGCGCATGTTTAGCAATCCTCGCGAAGGCGCTCATAAATTTGTAGTAGAGCTTTAGACAGAGGGGCTGGCAAATTATAAAGAAGCCTCAAAGTCTGTTCCCCATTTTTTTTGCAGGTTCTGCATGTTAACAGCACCAAGAATCTGGACAGTTAAAATGACATTACAAAAAAACTACTACTTCTTGGTGCATGAAAATTTGCAGAGAGATAGAAAAATACTTGCAAAAACCAAATATGTCAATTTTAAAAAATGAATATTTTTGTCACTTTTTGGTCCCAAAGAGCAGTCTGCCCCCTTAAACATACAAGGTTATGTGATTAAACAATATTTGTTAAAATACCAGTCCCTGCAGCAACCTGTATATTTGGCACGCAGGGTCGTCAATAAAGTAACCGCCATTCATGGGGTCCTCGCATAAGCAGGGGACGTTCTCAGCATCAGATTGTCCAATAAAAGGTAGTATGCAGCTTTTATATTTTCAACTTGATTTTCAAGTCTTTCAAGCCCTTGACTGATTCCACAAAGAACTCCTGTAAAGAAAAGCATTGATGAAAAAGACTATTTGCAATAAATTTTCACCCACACAAATGTAAGCTGATGGCATGCTACAGGGTGAAAATAATTACACCTATAATAGTAGAATACTCTTCTACAATATCAAGATTCTTGGCAAGCCCCAAATGATGGACAAACAGAAGATGTGTAGCACTATCAGTAAGAAGTTTCGCATTAGCTCAGTGCCCCAAATTTAAATGGAGGCTGCTTGAACCCAATAACTTTACCAGCAAGGATAAATCAACTGTCCTAATGACCCCCTAAGCCTAGAAAACAATCTAAAATCAGTAGCTAACTGGTGTATGAAGTGGCAGATGACATTAATTACAGGTAAGTCAAGTTTATTTAGGATAACCAGAAAGAATTTTTCTACACTATCTGAGACACTCAACTCCAGGCAAAGAACACGGGTATCTTGGACTAATATCAAATGACCTGGGACGTGAGGCACACATAAATCACTTGACATCATCTGCAATAAAAAGGCTATTCTTTCTGAAAAGGCACCTCTATGTAGCACTGTATACAACAAAGCTAGTTGCCTATAATACTTGTCAGACCAGTACTTGAGTACCAACGTCTTGTTCCCATCGACAAATAACTTGATAAACTGGAAAACATGTAGAGGAGAGCAGTCAGGTTTATTTTTAGTACATACCGCACATTTGACTCCCCCTCCGAATCAATACACGAAGCAGGAACACCGACTCCACATAACCGTGCAAGCACGCTTGCCATACTAAGTTTTAAATTGTTTCACAAGAAGCTTTATATTGATAGCACAAAATACTTATTTTACCCATAAACTAGGCCCTGGCATCGTAAGCACCCACACTCACTTCAGGTATACTGATACAAAAGTAAGTTTCAAACTTTCCTTTTTTATACAAGCCATTAAGACATGGAACAGTCAAGTCTGCCTGCATATTTGGGGGTTTTTTTTTAACCAATAGTTTTTTTTATAAAATGCAACGGCAGTAAAGCTGCTGTGATTTTCACACATGAACTGTTTGCTGAGATGAAAATACTTTGCCCTAGTTAACATGACACTGAGGTGACCAATTAACAAAAATTCAATAATTAACTATAGTTATTGACTTGAGGACAAATGTTTATATTAACCTCTTAAATACTCATTTTTTAAAAAATTTCTATCAAAGAGTGCCTATTTTTCATTGCTGGAATCGAATCTGATTGTACTAAAAAGTAGCTAGTTGATGTTGAAAAAATATTTTCACCTCATACTTAGTCAAATCAACGGAATAAAGTTCATTTTTGAACAATACACAGGAAACCAGCCACCTGCTGCTAATAAAATTTAAAAACTTATTAAACCAAACAGTTATTATGCCACATCTTTCTTCACTTCTGTAGGCTAAGCACCCTTGGTGTATTCCACTAGGGGAGCATCGGGGCTGCGCGGAAAATTCGAAAACGCGCAGTAACGCGAGGCAGCTTCATGTTCACGTCCGAGCTGTCTCTATGATCACTGGAGCAGCTACTCAATTCACCTTCATCACTGTCTTCACTTGTAGGCAGATGATAAATATCTGTACTCGAATCATCACTCAAAGAAAATGGCGAAAATGAAATAGCATTTTTTTCGCGTTGACAAGTCGGCTATGACGGGGTCGCCACCACTGCATGTTGTCTTTCCATACAAAACCCACACTCCTGCCGCAGGCAAAAAACAAATCCTCGAGAAAATGCTGTATTCTAGTGGCTGACACGCAATGTAAGCCATAAGTGCGCGCTTCTCCGCCTAAATGCTAGAGGGTAGTACCCATTCAGCTAGGACAAGTTCTACTCGTCCAAAGCAGTTTGGTGACAGAGTGGGCAGGCAAAGCTCTGTTCGTCCAAAGTATTTCAGGGATTAAAGGTTGCAGAGAGTGCCCATTTATGGCATACTTATTTTTTAGAAATCACTCAAGTTTCACTTAGTTTGAGATGTTCGTCACTGAACTTGACGGGCAGAATCGAAACTGATAGTGGCCCGCGCATGCCAAGAGTAGATCAAAGGGATGACACATGACAGGGAAGAGCCGAAATTTAAATGAAGGTGCGCCAAGGCAGAATCTGGTCAGAAAACCAACACCCATTATGAAATACGCGAGCAGACAGCCTAATGTTTGCGTGCAATATGCAGTTGAAGCCCGTTTCTCGCTTAAACTATAAAGAGGCGTAAAAAATTGTTTCGGCTGTGTGCAAAAAGAAGCAGCACAGTGGCCGCCCTAGTGCACATTTTCCAGAAAGAGAAAATTTTGCTATTGCAGTTTTCATGCGCACAGTTCGACACAAAAACAGTGATCCCACTGGGGACTGGCAATTTGAAGCAATTTTTGGAGCAGCCAAATTTTTGTTTTGGAGCACTTTGGAGCAGTAAAATTTTAGTTTTGAAGCATTTTGGAGCAAGTGATGTTGTGATTAGGAGCATATTGGAGCACTGAAATTTGAGTTTCGGAGCAGTAAAATTTTAGTTCTGGAGCATTTTAGAGCAGGTAATCTTGCTATTAGAAGCATTTTACAGCAGTAAAAATTTAGTTTTGGAGTAGGTAACCTTACTAATGGAGCACTTTGGCATATATATACAGTCAAACCTTGTAATAACGAAGTTGAAGAGGAGTTGTAATTAGTTAAACCTGGATATAACAAAATTGATCAATTACCAGAAACATTTGTCATAAAGAGGACTTTGTTAAATGCAGGTTTGGTACGAAAATTCAGAAAATAAACGCGCAAATCAAACGAAAAGGCGACCGAAGGCAGAGCTAACCTAAAACACTTATTTTACAGTAAAAAACAGAGTTATTATTGCGATGGCAATTATATGAACACTCTCGGCGGATTTTTGCGTCGCCACCATGTTCCCAAACTAGTCCAAATTGATAACATGCCCCCGCGCATCGTAGCTTTCACGAGCCGGTAAAAGCGCGCGAGCACTGCTGAAGCAGAGATCAAATGAGTCTGCCTATCCCTAGCCTGGAAAGTGCATAACATCCCCCGTGTGTTAGACACTAAACGCGCTGTTTATACAAAACCGAGGTGCAAAACGTAATAGCAGGTACAGATGTGAGTGCAAACTAACAAGTACCCTAGTTGTTAATTCGCTGTGTTAGAAAACTGCACTCTTTTCACAAACGACGCCTGTACAGCGAGCGAAGTGGTCTTTGTGCGCCCGGCAACTAAACGCAATCGTACCGGTCCAAGTCGAAGGCGCGCGATTCTCCCCACCGATGGATAAGCGCGCGCACAAGCATAAGCGCATGCATGAGGGAGATTTGCTGGATCTGCCGATTACCGTGTTTACTCGCGGAATGAACCCACCTTTTAAAAAAGTCACGGGAGTTAAAACAGCCGAAATTTCACATGGTGGTGTTGCTTATCTTGGTCCGCGAAATGCGCGGCAAATCATTTTTGCATCCCCAAGCTCTTGTTTTCTATCGCAACAAACATGCACGGGTCTTGTCGTCTGGCCGGTCTGTTCCCGTGCTCCAGCATATGCTCTACCAATTTTAAGTTTAAAACCAGCCGTGTAGATAGCGCACCAGCTAAATGCGCCCTGTGCATTAGTTGTCCACCTAGGTTCACCACGACAAACCCGACAACAAAAACGCAGCGTTGGATGGCGCCCCACAAACGTTGCGGGAGCACAACAGGCCATCAGCGCGGTTGCACGTTGCATGGCCTCCGAGATGACGGCGCGTGGCGGGCACTCTATGGTGGCGCGTTTCTACGCCTACCATCGCAGAGGCCGTGCCCTTTGTTTTTTTGTTTTTTTTTTTGCTGCTGTGCTTGCGTGGCAGTATAAGCAAAGAGGTTTCTCCTGCATTGAACAAATGGAACTCTTCTGCAAAAGGTGCGACTTCTAAAGTTTGGTTGATTTCCAAGCTCGCGCTGTTCACAACTGTTTGGCGTGGTTGTTAAACTATATTTTGACACTTACTGCGTCATTATTTTGTGATATAATGATTTGGTTATTAGTTGTTTCGATCGTCAACAGCACTGGTTATCATACCGAAAGAAACCGAAAAGATACATTTAAATTTTTTCTCTTTTTCTGAGGAGCGAGTTGGAGGGTGGGTTCATTACGCGAGTAAATACGGTATTTGCTTTCCGCCAACGATTAGTCCACTACGAAACTCGAGATTACTTTGCCAGCTGTCCCTTGGTTCTTTCAGGATGGTAAAAGTATCAGTTAACTTGCATGGAGGGTAAATTCACAGTGAACGGTTACCTACAGCACGTACTTCATAAGCGACCCTCGAGGTCGCTTGCTTCACGCGGCATACACCAATCCAGTGTTCCAGCCTGAAGAACACTCACGACGAAAAATAATAAAACATTGTCCCCAGTGCATAGTTCTTGTACTTATTGGCACAGTTAACAAAAGCAATTTATACACTACATTGCGAGACACCACTAATTACCTGACGCGACTCTGCTAATCGGAAGCTGCTCCACAGGGCACGTCAACTTATTTCGTTCCCTCCTGCTCAACAGTGCCGCCAGCTCAGTGCACATTGTCTATAGGATTGAAATACAGCAAGTTATATACTTGGTTCCGCATTCATGTACATCTGGGTTCTGTCACATGTTACCTTCACTCGCTCGGTGCAGCATCCCAGTGTTATCCTTAAAGCTTGCCCTAGGTTGCATCTTATGGCGTGTTTTGGGTGGCTTGGTGCTCGCTATTTCTACCGTGCGTATCCTCAGACAGTGCCACACAACTTATCATAGTGAAAACAATGTGCATGATGGTATGATGCTACGAACCTCAGTAAACTACGGCTCGGCAAACATCTCTTCGTCGCCATGTTTTGTCGATGACAGACTTTTTATTGGCTCACTTACAGTGGCGGCAGCTGTACAGTTGTGAGGAACGTGAGTGAGGAATTGAAATGGTGCTTTCATAGCTGTTAAATGCACCCTGATGATGAAATGAGTCGAGGTTTAGTCATGAATGGACAGCCAGTATTCTAAATATACACGTAGCTGAAAATTTTGGAAAAATGTTCACGACCCCTTTAACTTTTGTTTTGGAAAGCAAGAATTATAAAACCACACTCGTTTCACTCCTTGGCATCTAGAGAATCCAATGGCATTCAATACAGTGATATCTGTTCAACCAGTTTAATAAACATCATTAAATAATGTTTACATTACCATTTTAAAATTACTTCCATTACACTACATAAAAAGGAGTAGGTAATATTTTTAATAGAAGCACATTAAATTCATGTTCATAAAAGTTTTTGCATAATTCTAGCTGAAATAATATGACATTTTAGGTTTAATGACCACTTGCCCCCTTAAACATAGACTGAAGTAAAAAAGTCTTGACAGCATTAGTACTGCTCCAGCTGAAATGCGGTTAATTTTTCAATACAAGTGCTTGGAAGCAATACTTCCTTAATTTGACATGCAAAATGGCTTTGGTCCTCAGTAAGATACTACACTCTATGGGATTGAAAGAGCCTCTCCTTCTGTGCCTCATATCCCAGCTAGCGTGTTGTGCCAGCCCCGAGCAGCTCAGTCACCGCAAACCGTTGCGAATGGGCAGTGAGGCAGCCAGGGCCATAGCTGGTTTTTATTTTTTTTTGCCAGCACAGCTCATGATTTTTTAGCTTCTCGCTTCCCGCATCAAAACGACTGCACTAGAAAATATTGCATTGCTGCATCCTTCCTAAATGACCAACCGCGACGTTCATCTCAACTTTCCTATGGCTACCACTCGGAACCAGTGAGGGGATACTCGCAGGCCCGACCCTATTCGCCTATGTGATGTCTTAGTAACGTCTCATTCAGGCGCTTGGTGGAACCACCAATAGCGCCATAGGCACACATATCTACTAGGTCTCATATTGATACCCCTTCTAGCCCATTATCTGCGACTGTCACATTGTGCCTGGGTTGATGATAAATCCACATCTGTTGATGACTTGCCTTGTGTGCGTCTTCTGCATCATGTCGGAGGGTCATATTCTTTCCTGACCCCACGTAGAATAGTCCTCATGCAAAACAGTCTCCACAACTTTAAACCAAACACAACATAAGCAATCTTTACCTTTTCGGCTGCCAAGTGTAGCAGTGCTACAAAAGCCACAGGAACATTAATGCTAGCCCGGTTGATGCGATTCAGTTGGGGTCCAACATTGTCATACAATTTTCGAAAGGTGTACTTAGTAATGGCTCCCTTGTCGGGCACATTTGCAGAACTTGGGTCATTCTCCTGAAAGTAAACGATTATTTAGCACACAAGAAAACACAGAACTATAATGTATACCCAAAATTTTTTGTTCTAAAGAACAACTTTACAGTCCTGCATTAAAGGGCCCCAAACCACACCCGATATTTTTTTAAAGACATTTCAAGTAAACACGCACATGGCATGCAGAATACCGTCATGATCAATGACATCACACTAGAAGCCACAGGCGCCCCACAAATTGCTAGGCGAAATGCCTTCTATCTGGCCATTCCGACTTCCCCAGTGACGTTCGCGACACCGACTTGTCGCATCTGTGATGATGTTGGCAATCGATGCTGCCATTGCTCGAACAAAAACCTTCGACCTCTGATCGACTTGCGAGCAACTGCCCATGCTCCTCGCTACTCACTGTGTTGCACGCATTTGCGCCCTTGCAAATCGGAAATTGTGGCCCATAGAGCAAAAGCCAAATCATTAGTGCACCAATACAGAGTCTATACGAGCAGGATTGGTACGATTATGGGCCAGCACAGATCAGCAGCAGGTAGCAGAGGAGCGCAGCGTTGAATTTGCAATAACCGAAAGAGTGCCTTGCCAATGATGTATGCATGTTAGAAGAGACTGGGAGTGGTACTGGGCAAGGAGAGAAAAGCGGCTTTGGAAGCAAAGACCAGCCAATTCACGGAGGGTAGTAAAGAAAAAGGTGAAACTAGCAATTGCAACGTTTTGATCATGAAACACTTGTAACTCCACTAGTACGGCACTGTTTTGAAATTTCCTCACAGCTATGAGTCCACTGCAGAACCGTGCGCAACTACAACACACCTAAATTTCAACTTGTGGGTGGTTTAGGGGCTTTAATACCTGCAATTTCAAGCACATGAATTATAGTTACACAAACTAGTATTAAATAAATATCAAGAAATGTGCATTTATTGTTTTTCACACTTTATTGATCATAGTTTTGCTTTTTTTTTTCTTCCACTGGCATGCGCATATGGTGCACTGGGAGAGCTGTTCTTGAGCAGATTAGTGCTTTAAAACACAGGCGGGGAGTTCGGGTAGGTGCAGCATGGCATTCCAAGTTCAGTCATGTGGTTTGTCTAGTGCACAGCCTCTGAATGAGAGGACCCCCAGGTGCTCCGATGAGTCGGGGATACATGACAAGTTGTTGCGACTTACAAGAAGGCTTTCAGTGATGGCAGTACAATGGTGCCACAAGTTAACAAAGATTGCTAAAACATTCATTTGAGATGATGAGTTTTCTACTGTGACTGCAGACTAACTCTGAGCCCCTGGATGATGTCCACAATACACCTTTAAGGGAGGACGTGGCAATGAAAACTATTTTTATTTATCGAGATCGGCACGCAGATGTGATAGATGGTGCCGGTATCTTAACTGAAACTGGTTTTGAACTATCTGTTGTTTTTGAGTTTCAACACTTCCCGAGCTCCTGCCGTCACCCCAAAACTAACGATTTCGACACAAATTCACCAAGATTTGATTGTCGCATAAGGTCCCATTCTATGCCGTGAAACTGCTGGATTTTTTTTAATTATGTACTATACTCAGATTAAAACAGAACAATTTCGGGTCAAGTAACAAACATAAGGAGAGAACAGCGCTTTACAACAAGTGGTGAAACACTAAAAGTTGTAAAGGAATATGCCTACTTAGGACAGCTAGTAACCGTGGAGCTGCGCTATGAAAGTGAAATAACTAGAAGAATAAGAATGTGGTGGATGACATACGGTAAGCATTCTCAAATAATGAATGGTAATCTGCCACTAACCCCCAAGAGGAAGGTATATAAAAGCTGCATCTTGCCGGTACTTACCTACAAAGCAAAAACCTAGAAGCTAACAAAGAGGGTTCAGCTTGAATAGAGGATGATGCAGCGACCAATGAAAAAGGAAAATGATAGGTGTAACCTTAAGAGACAGGAAGAGAGCAGAGTGGGTCAGAGAACAAATGACGGTTAAGGATATCAAGAAGAAATGGACATGGGCCAGGCCCGAAGCGCGTAGACAGCATAACCACTGGTCATTAAGGGTAGCCGATTGGATTCCCAGAGAAGAAAAATGCATGAGGGGGAGCAAAGTAAGGTAGGCAGATGAGCTTAAGAAGTTTTAAGGCATAACATGGCAACAAAAAACACAGGACCGGGTTGATTGGCAGAACTTGAGAGAGTCCTTTGTCCTTCCTACAGTAAGCGTAATCAGGCAGATGATGAGTGTGCATATTTCCTTTTGCACCATCTTCACTTCTGGTCATTCGGCGAAATTTTGACTCGCATGTGTAGACCAGCGCCAACGTAATCTTTGAAAACTAGATTCGTCACATGATGTGGTTATTTAGAGCAACTGCAAATATCAGTCGTTATGCTAAAAATTTGTTGCATTTAAATTTGTGAGTACTATGCACATTGTTTTACCATCCACTTTTACAAAAAGCCAATATAAAAATATATATGAGGTGCAGACAAGTATCGACAGCTTAGCTCGAAATTGGAGCTCGAAGAAAATGAAGCTCAAGGTTAAAAAAAAAGGAAACTCGAAAGGAAGCTGGTTTTATTTTTCATTGGAGCAACGGCTATTTCGATCCTCGATCTGTCCTCGATATGATGATACAAATATGGGGGTGATGCACCAAGGGGAAGCTGCAGATTTTTCTAAAGCCAAATACTCTCATAATAGTCTTTGATCTTTGATGACAGCACACTAGTGAACTTGTTTTTAACTTCCACTGCTTATTTTCATGTAATATTCCACCATTATGTAAAGGTGCTCTCAGGACTGCAGAAAAAAAATGGAAAAAAATTGAACATTCCAACTAGATTTACCATTCCTACTGCCATTTAAAGCCTACAGGTTTTGCAACACTTTTGCAGCATGGTCAGAAAACTCTGGCTCACATACTCTTGGTAGCCTCAACTACCAATTGGCATATATTGTAGCGCAGCACGCGGCTGGAATTCACAATATATTCCAAAATCAGCTAAAAAGTGCATTCTCTTCACTCGACAAATGATGCTATAAGCTCAAAAATAATTGCATCACACACCGAAGTATAATCCAATGGCTGATTTGAGCATGGCATACTCAGGAGTTACTAGAGCCACCGCAAAAGGCCACACCCTGTCTACGTGTGCGCGCGATCGCACTGAAAAGCCAAGCCTTCAAAGCAAAAATTAGAGAAGAGCTCAAGGTCAAGAGGCACGTGTGATGTATCTTCTTCCCTCGTTCCACACCTCCCTGCTTAGCTTCCAGTGCTTTTGTTGGGATGAAAAAAAAGAGAAAGCAATTGCAGCATGCGACAAATCTTTAACTCCGCTTCTACTGGAAGGATTCTAAAATTTCTTGAGGCAGTGAATTCGTGAGGCAATAAGCTCCTTCACTGAATTCATTCCACAGCTGCTCTGAAAAGTGTAGCAGGGCCTCTTTCATGTATTCACACGATCTGTAGTTTCTCTTGGTACAAAGGCCAAGTACAGACATAATTCAAGGTAAAAAGAGATGACTGAACTGTCGAAAATCTTCAGATGCTGATGTGTATGCATGGCAAAACGATGCTGGCTGGTTCAAAAGTCCTTTTTCTCCCTGCCTATTTCCACTTGAAGGAAAGCTGAAGTGGTTTTCAAGTTCGGGAAAACTTGGTCAACATTATTGTCGACGATGCTGCAATTTTTTGCGCGGGCGTTACTGCAGGACTTTAAAATACGCAAGAAAATATTCAACTAGTCCGGGCCCACACAAGAGGGACTATGGGTGTGAAAACAAGCTACGTCATCTTTGGGAAGTTTGGTAAAGTCACTTTCCAGTCCAATGTAAAGTTCCCACAGCTCACTGATCTGAACTGCAAGAGCACTACATATTTATGTAGCCAAGGCTCAAGTAACTCTACAAAACAATGAAGGTTTTGTAGCTGAATTACAATATCTTTCAACTGCAATGACAACAAGTGTCTCGTATCTTCAACTCTAGCCGCCATGACTAACTCCGCCTGAGTGCCGCTGCCAAAGGCCACGCTTCAACCGTGCTGCTTTTGCAGGTGACACATCATGCCAATGACGACGCAACCATGTTCGCTCACCATCTCATGAAACCCTGCAGCCACAGTGTTCTTTTTCACACACACAAAAAAATGCTATCGGTGTTCACTTTTTGCAACTCCCACATTGGTTTTCAGATTTAGTGGGGATCACTAACAGTCCCTGCACACTCCAAAGTCGTTTTTTCAAAAAAAAAAACTTCAGCTTCCCCTCATGGGCACTTCACACACTTCGTACATTTGTGAACTACAGTTTTATTTCGAAGCACAATTTTTTTTTCATAGTCGTATGGTTTTTTTTTTCTTTTTCAGAATTTATCTAGCTGTTACTCACGAATGAGCCAAGTGCATGCAACAACACAAATGTTTTTTTGTTACTTTACTGTTTCCCTGTAAATTTTAGAACTTTTTTCTCAAATAGATCTGTCAATTAAAAAATACATATTTGCGTGCAATTTGCAAAAAAATACAACAAAAAACATCGACCCTCAAGGGGTTTACGCTTGGATGGCATTCAAAGCATGTGCAAGTTAAACACGATGCATCAGGATATAACCGAATTTACCAGAATTGTAAAGTACAGCCTAATTATCAAATTTTCCTATTAAACATACAGTCGACTCCCGGTAATTCGAAGTCGCTTAATTGGAAGTTTCGGTTAATTAGAAATTGGCAAGTGGTCCCATCAGTTTTGCATGCAATCGTATAGAAAAAAAATGCTCGGTAATTCGAAGTTAAAAACCCATGATATTGGTTAATTAGAAGTTTTTTCAATCGACAGTCTCGTCGCGACCGTAATTTTACAGTAAAATGGCGAACTTTTCATATGCCAAAACATCTGCCGGACCGCGCTGGTGTTTTCGCCATCACTACTGTCCGCAGCGCCACAGATCTTGAAGTGGCAATCATTTTAACGCTGGTGAATCGCATCGGCGGCATCGACTGACTCTTTAGTTGACTTTTGTCGAGACTCGAGTGTGTCACCGCGTCACCCGCGCGCTGGGTTGATTCCACACGTGTTTCCGCGCTTCTGATTTTGAGTGTTGTGGTGGTGACGTACGTTTGATAATGGCAACTCGTGGCCCTTACCGAACGCTAGACCTAGCGACGAAAGTCGAAGTCTTGAAGGAAGTTGACCAGGGAGGCACCGCCAGACAAGACATTGCAAGAAAGTACGGCATTAAGCCTAACACGCTGTCGACTTTCATTAAGAATAAGCGCTCAATATAGGATGCCTTTGAAAGTGAAAAATTCAAGACATCGCGGAAGCGGATGCGCACCGGCGCCTACCCCGAGTTGGAAGAAGCACTGCTGATTTGGATCAGAGAGGCACGAAACAACAAACTTCCTCTCAGTGGTGAAGTCGTCACGGCAAAAGCGTCATCGCTTGCTGAAATGTTGGGCATCAACGACTTCGCTGCTTCGAATGGGTGGCTTACGCGTTTCAAACATCGCCACGACTTGATTTTTAAAAGCGTGTGTGGGGAGAAGGCGTCAGTCGATGAGGAAACGTGCCTGACATGGAAAGCGGGCAAGCTTCGCGAGTACCTCGAAGAATACCAGCCGGCAGACATTTTTAATGCAGACGAGACTCCGCTTTTTTATCGGCTGCTACCGGACAAGACTCTGACATTTAAAGACGACGACTGTTCTGGAGGCAAAAGAAGCAAAGAGAGAGTGTCAGTGCTAGTCGCGGCGAACATGACTGGCACAGAACGGTGTCGCCTGCTTGTGATCGGGAAGGCTGCCAAGCCTAGGTGCTTTAAAGGCGTGAAGACGCTTCCTGTGGATTATGCCTCGAACAGAAAGGCGTGGATGACATCCGATATATTTACGGACTGGATCACCAAACTCGACCGCAAGTTCGCGCAATCAAGCCGTAAGGTGTTGTTCCTTGTGGACCAATGTAGTGCCCACATGAACGTACCTGCCTTGAGTGCCATCTGTCTTGTGTACCTGCCTGCAAACACGACGTCCGTGTTGCAGCCCATGGACCAGGGCATAATAAAAAATGTGAAGGTATTGTATAGGCAGCATCTCGTCGAGCGCATGCTTTTGTGCATGGACAACTCGTCGCAATACGAGGCGAGTTTGCTTAGTGCCATCAACATGCTAGCGCGAGCTTGGACCCGCGTGAAAGAAGAAACCATCGCCAATTGTTTCCGGGCCTGTGGTTTCATGGAAAACTCGGGGGATGCTTCTCCTTGTGCGCCAGTGGAAGTGCAAACAAATGAGCTCGACGACGGTAGCTTTCGCGCCGCTCTCGGTGACGTCCGTTTTGACGAGTATGTCGCTGTGGACAGCAACGTTGAAACATGCGGTCCACTAACGGACAGCAAAATCGTGCAGATGGTTCGGCCCCATGACTGCATTCCTGAAAATGACGATGATGACGACGACATCGGAAATGAGCATCCACTGAGGGCAGCCGATGTAGCTGCGGGTCTTGCTCTTGCGCAGCGGTTTTTTGTTGGAGAACACAACGCCGAAGAAGCACATCGACACGTGTATTCCTTACAAAACTTGCTAGCCGCAGCCAGATTCGGCAAGCAGAAGAAGATGACAGACTATTTTTCCTCAAAACTGTCGCGCTTTTAAACTAATAAAAGTGCCGTTTTTAGTGCTTTTTGCTTAATTCAAAGTTCGTTTAATTCGAAGTTTTTTGCGGTTCCCGTGAACTTCGTATTAACAAGAGTCGACTGTATTTATTGGCACTCAATATAATCCTTTATCATTACGATGTAGAGGAAACATTTTACAGTGTCAGTGACTTATTTAATGCAGTGTCTTCTGTGTTTGTATTTAGCTGCTTTGTGCTTATGTTACTCATTGCTAACAGGTTTGCCCTGCAGTCTGTTCATTATGAGTCCTCCCTCGGTATGGCTTGTATAATGCACTTTTGTAACATTGCTATTATTATTATTATCCACAATAATGGTGCATACAACTAGGCATGGCTGAATACCGTATATACTCGTGTAAGGGCCGCCCTCGTGTAAGGGCCGCACCCCAACTTTGAAAGCGGATATTTCGAAAAAAAAAAACAAAAGTTCAAAATGTCCCGCCAGAAAAGTGTAGTTAGTTCATTTACAGCCAGATGGCGCTGCACGCTTTTCCGCTTTTATTCTACTTCCGCCGACGCGCCGACCACGCTGTTGACAGCGCGCCGCCATATTTGCCTTGTGCGGCCTCTTTGTTGGCATCGTTCCTAGCATCGTGTCGATACGTTGGCAGCGCGACTTCAGATCGGTGTCGTCGGTGTCACTTTGTTGGTTGTAGTGAACCCTGCAGAAGCCAGCGCACGTGACGGACGATGGGCCGGCATCTGAGATCATTCACTGCAGCATTTAAGCTGCAAGTGATTGACTATGCCGAGGAGCACGGGAAGCGGGAAGCTGGACGAAAGTACGACGTCGATGAGAAGCGCGTGCGTTACTGGATGAATCAGAAAGATGCCCTCGCCGCTACTAACAGGAGCCGAAAGGCGTTTCGCGGGAAAAAGTGCAAGTACCCGCAACTCGAAAGCGAGCTCGTCAACTACGTCGTCGACACACGAAGGGACGGCTACGCCGTATCGACTGACATGATACGCGTCAAAGCCCTCAGCATCGCTCGCCACATGGAAATACCCCCGGCACAATTCAAGGCAAGTCGGGGCTGGGCTACGCGGTTTATGAACCGTAACCAGCTTTCTATTCGGCGCCGAACGACGATTTGCCAAAAACTGCCGCGCGAGTACGAAGACCACGTCATTAAGTTTCATCGCTTCGTGAATGCTCTCAGGAGGGAGCATGAATACGACCTGTCCCAAATTGGGAATGCGGACCAGACACCTGTGTGGTTCGATGCACCGGAAAGCACCACAGTGGATTTAAAAGGTGCGAAAAGTGTGTCTGTGCGCACGACTGGTGCAGAACGCCAAAGGTGCACTGTGATGTTGTGCATCACGGCAGACGGCAGGAGGCTTCCGCCGTACGTCGTATTTAAAAGGAAGACTCTCCCAAAAGAGAAGTTCCCTCAGGGAATCGTCGTACGTGCGCAAGAGAAGGGCTGGATGTCCGAGGAACTGGTCGTTGACTGGATTAAGACCGTCTGGGCAAACAGACCTGGAGGGCTGTTACAACGGAAAGCCCTCCTTGTTTTGGACAGCTTTAGGGGCCACTTGACCGACCGCGTCAAGAACCGAGTTGCCGCAACTCGTACGGACTTGGCCGTCATTCCCGGTGGCCTGACGAGTGTGCTGCAGCCGCTCGACGTATGCGTCAACAGACCATTCAAAGTGGAATTTCGCCGATGTTACTCTGAATGGATGGCTGGAGGCGTCCACGAGAAGACCCCTACAGGACGGCTGAAGCGGGCGTCGCTCCAACAGGTGTGTGAATGGATTTTGAATGCGTGGCGTGCCATGTCAGTAGAAGTAGTTGCTAAAAGCTTCAAGGTAACGGGAATTTCGAACTCCATGAACGGCACCGAAGATGACCGTCTCTGGGAAGACGCGGACGCCGAGGCGAGCTCCTCCGAGAACGAGGACAGCGAAATGGAATCCGAATAAAAACATTTCTGGCATGTCATTTGTGACTCTTGCACTCTGCTACTGTTGCATAAACAGTACAGACCTTTGGCCTGTACTGCCTGTACTAAATCGGCCTGATTCGTGTAAGGGCCGCACCTAGCAAAATTTTCGAAAAAAAAGTGCGGCCCTTACACGAGTATATACGGTATTGAAGCCCTTCAACTATTTGAACAAATATTACAGTATTCCAATTCACTATGACAACTTTAAAGTATCTCAAATGAATGGACAAATAATTGATCGCTTGTACCCCATTGAAAAGGTGGTTTCACCTCAGTGTGGGCCTATTATGCCATGAAATGACCTATCCAGGCAAAGTCCTCACTGCCACATCGCACAGCAGGGTTAATGTACATAGTACCTGAACCTCAATTCATTATTTTTTTTATTTGAGACGTGTTTTATACCGGCCTATGTTTGCAAAATATGTGATAAGTATAAAATCTTAGAGAAACATATTTCACAGCTTATATTTTGCACCTTATTTTTCTTCAAATACTGCCACCATTTTGCTTCCACTTCCACCAAAAAGTGACGTTCGCACATGCCCAGTTCCAATTAAAATATTGTGCTAGTTAGTTGGCTAGCAAAAAAAAAAAAAGGACATTTATTTTTTTGCGTAATACGGGATATTATAACCCGCTCAAACTGAAATATTTCATATGAAATCATTCCACCAGACCACCTTTGATTCCAACTTTAACCTTATTATTCACCCAATCTTATATAGTACAACTATTTCATAATCTGTTTTGAGCACAATATATCTGAGATTAAGTAGATGCAAAGCTCTTGCATTTTAGGTGCAAATGAACCCAACAGCTGATACATCTGAATGATAATGAAGTATGAAATTTGGTCCCAACCTTGTTGTCCTTATGGCCAGTCATGGTCCGCCACATCGCTTGTTTCATATCTTTCATGTCAAACCTTTTGAATGAAAACTGGAACTTTGGTATCTGAAATATCAGAAAAGATATAGTAAGCTCAATAAGGTTGATGGCTGGGCTAGTTGGTGATTAATCATTTTACCGCAAAATTTAGTAGCGCTGTTGTTAGTGTGGCTGTGTGCCACTATTTGATGACACCACAGTGGTTTTTCATGATGGAAACCAACTAACCAGGGAAATAGTTGAATTATTTCACATTAACAAAAGAAAAGACTGCTGCCTTAGCAAATCATTGGTTTCATTAGGTCATTGGGAAGCCACCTTCTTGGAAGGGCTTTAATTGAAAGAACGTAGGATTATACATCTGTAACACAGGTTCTTGTTGCTGATTTCAGTGTTCAGCACGTGTGAGGGTACTTGAATGTATTGCAACTTACCCTGAACTATATTATATATTTTCATGGTTTTTTTAATGTATAGGCTACGCATGCTTCGTTTCTTATTGCCCAAGTTTATGCATATTAGGTTTCATGGGTAAAAAAGCATGTATTTTTAAGTTCAATTCTGCACGTGTCGCAATTATTTTATCGTTAAGTGCTAAAAAATTTGATATTGGATAAGTTTTCAGTGTCTGTTAGTTAATATCTGTGTTGCTGGGGGTCAGCGTGGGTGCATATAGTATATGAAGTATTTTTCTGTAATAAATTTAGTTGCGAGTGTAGCAAGTGTCGTGCCCTTCTTATCCCATTGCCGATGTTAAAAACTTCGCTACTAAGCCTTATGGTAAAATGACCTAGTAAGCAATTATGTCTCATAGTAAATTACAAACATGAAGCCAAAGTGGTAACTCTACGAACATTTCATTTTGTCAGCTCAAAATGCAGAAAGAAAGCAGAAACTTGAACAAAGAAACCCATCATCAGACAACAAATGTATCAGATTACAAATGGGGTAGCCGATATTCTAGTTGACATTCAAGGCCACTCACCTGGTCTGACAATTTTGAGCTGACCAGCGCAATGCTTACATGGGGCATTCCCGATCACGTCTGACACAATTTGCAATGCTACGCCCCGCGGAAATGGGTCAAATTTCAAGATGAATGCTTTTTGCCCTCCCTTTCGCGGGCGTGCGCCCAGAGAATGAGGGCATGACGTAGACGTAGGAATTGCCGTACGTAGACAGTAATGCTCCAACGTTGGTCCTCTACGTAGACGACTGTGCTCCGAAGTCGCCAACAGTAGCACGCGACGGGACGAAAATTATTTCACACGACATGTGTAGCTTGTGTAACTTGTTTCTTGAATAGATGAGTAAAACTTGAAGTAAATAAAAAGGGAATGAGCGTGTCTTCCAATTTTCCCCCCGTGAATCGCAATGATATGAAGGGTTGATGTGCTTGCGTTTCGCATGTGTTCACGTTTCTGCGGTTATCGCATCGTGTAGATGCCAGCCCCGGAGACGAGATAATGGTCTGATGTGTTAGAGCCCTCAATATGCTCATTTATTGTAGCATGTCTAAGCCAGGGTTTCAAAAGGACCACACACCAAGGCATCCATCCCAGAGAAACAGATAGTAGACCATAAAGTAACGCTGCTCGTGTCCTCAGGGGTGGGGCTTGCTCAGAGACGTCATGTGCACATGACCATTTGCTCGGATCCCGGAGAGGACAAGGAAGAGATTTGGCTTGCGAAGGCTGGGCGGGGTGAGCGGCAAGGGTTTCGAGCTCGCCCTCCCTCATCAGCGTTTCATATCACATCAAAATATTGGTTTTCTCAGCTCGTAATAAACTGATTGAAAAGCTTTTGGTGGCATAATGCTCATCTTCGAACACACAACTGCCAGCATCTAACGAGAACTTGTTATGGGGCCTGGTGAGTGGCCCTTGAAGGGGAGATGAAAGTCTAAAAACGCAAGTTTCTTTCCAAAAATGCTTATTTTTCGTTTTTATTAGCTTTCCCAAGTTTGGTCTTTGTACTTTCCCGACAGAAAAACTGAAGATTGTAATTAAGCTCAAAGAATGTTAAAATTGCTTTTAAAGAGCACACCGTGGCTTGGGAATCCGCGTTATGCAAAGCATGTACAGGGAAGGTTACCGTGTTATAATTTTCTTATTTAGTTACACATGTTATGAAATCACGCTAAGTATATGTACAAATGTTGCACGTCTAGACACATGTTGAATAGTTGCAGATGCTTACATAATCAGTTGTTTGTGCTTGCACAACGATGCCAACAGGAACATGAGTATCAAGAACACCAAAAGTGATAAGCTAATATGAAGCACTGGTGCAAGTGAAAATGATAGCCCTGGACACTGCTACATAAAGAAACTTCAGTGAATGTCCCCTAACAACAATTAACTTTAGCCCGACGTGACGGTTGTATGGCAGAAGTACATATGCAATGTTTATAAAATTGGATAGCCAGCACTGCAACTACAAATGACGTTTCACAGACATTACGACCCATCTGAAAAGTAGTTCCGAGACCTGGCGTGGCTCTGTGGTAGAATACTTGATTGCCAAGCAGAATGCTGGGGTTTGATTTCTGCTCAGACCATGATATTTATCGTACATGTTCGTTAGCTCAGCACTGCCTATGTCAGCTTTTTCTTAACACTAACGCGTTCAAATTACGCATGAGTGTTTTCGCAGTTATTGGGTAGATACTAAGTTTCAATCACTTGTGTGGCACATACCCAGCCGTGGGTATGTGCCAAGGTGCCACTTGACTAGCCCGTCATATTTGTCAAACCATCTTACCTTTCCCGGTACAAACTAAGGCAGACAGGCAGGCAGGCAGGCAGGCAGGTAGGCAGTCAGGCCGGCGAGCAGACGGGCACGCAGGCAGATTGATAGAAACACAGACACAGATACGTAAATAGATGCCAAAAGTGCTTGCTGTACACAAAGACATGCATCACAATTAAAATGACAGTGTACAAACCTTTGGCTGATAGGGAACTGCAGGTTTGAATTGAGGTGCTGGGGCTGGTGCTGGTGCTGGCGGTGGTGGTAGTGGTGGCAAAGGTTCCACAGGAACAGATGGACCAGCATCACCAACATTGTCCACAAGCATGTTGGAATCCTCATGGATCTGGCAAAAGAGAGAGACATAGATGGCTAAACTATTAAAACAATGCAATACAAAGCCACCCAAGACGTTGGCATGCTATGACAAACTAAAGCAAACCGACAGCTCATACTCGGGGAAGCTTTTCTGATAGTTATGATTATCACATGGTATGCAATAGCATATCACTGTTCCCTCCCCTGTCCCCAAAAGTGTTATTCATTTTGACAGCCACTGAAAGACTAAAATGTTGTCTCAAAGGACCGCGGATCAATCCACACACATCCTGCTATAACGCATCCTGCTATAAACGGCCCAGTCAAACTTTGATGTCAAGCATGGCAAGGAGGGTTTCGAAGTGGAGCTCAAGGTTACCATTTTCTCAAGTGCACTTTCTTTGAACAGAGATTCGTCCTCACTCTCTTCAGTGGGCAGGAGTGCCTCCTGCTTGACTTCGAACCACAGATGATGTGCTATTGGCCAATTGCCAATAAAAATAAAGGGGGGCGTTTAGATCACATGCGCTTCTTGCCACGGTGTGCCGCCATGTGCTAGTGGGCTAACATAGTATGCAAACATTACGCAGTAACCACACTGGCACACACAAATCACAGTGACGGAGAGCAATCAGGTTCCATCCCGAGTTCAAAGCCATTACGTGTGCAACACGAGCTCAAGGCCATTACGTGTGCTGAATAAACTTCCTTCTAGCTTGCAATCATTCTCTATGTAGCTCCTAGCATGCTCGTCGGGACAAGAAAAGAGAGAAGGCGCTGAAGGCGTGCAACAAATCCTCATTATTCTGCTTGTTCTTGATGGATTCGAGAAACTCCAATAACGATGTCATTCAATTATTAACTGAACATGGAGCTATGTCGTCCGTTTTCTGAGGAGATTAATTTTGAAAGCAAATATATTTATTCTTTTATGCCGATTTCAAAAGTACCCTTTTTTCTTCTTATGAAAACAATTACTGAGACAGATATTAATTACTATTGTTTGGAGAGACAAAGGATAATAATGAGTTGCACAGAAAGTAATATTTAATGCATGAGCAAAAAGCAGAATGAACAGGTATTTAAATACTGCAAGCACTTTTCAAATTTACCATTAATAAGCAATTTAGCAGCCCATTGATATTCATCGTTTAAAGAACAAATACTAACAATCAAAAACAAAGGCATGTTAAAAATATAGAGGAAAGAACCTGCCCGAAGCGATTCAGGCTTTCTGCATTTCGCATTACAAAATGAAAATTTTACAGATTTAGTTATATTAGATGTTGAGAAATTGATGCACCAAACAAGCAGGGTAATTAATAAGAACTTGTTTTCAGAAAATGCAATAAAAGAAAGAACAGGAAAAGCTAATTTTGAGCCACATTTACCAGAAGATACAGAAATATTTTTTAAAGATGGTTAGTAGCCACCAGAGACACAACATGCATGCCTCCTGCATAGCCCACTTCTTGTACCTTTTCTCTATGAAAATATAGCTTGTCTTGGTTATTTCAATTGCTCTTGGGGCTGAAATACCCATCCATGATGTGAGAAACTTGGTCAGCACTTATGGCAATGCCTGTACATTACAAAAATAGTATAGTATTCAGAAAATTGATGTTTTTCCATGATTTTTTTTTTTTTTTTTACCTCTCCGACTGCTGTACCTCCTTAAGGCAGAGGTAAAGACCGGTGCAAGCGCAAAGAAAACAGCTAAATGTATAACATACGTCAGGAGGAAGGCCGCCAACAGAACTGGCACGACCACAATCCTTCGCAACAGCTTTAATGGGGGGTATTTCAAGCTCTGGAATCTGGAAAAGACACAGTACATTACCAAGTGAAATTAAACTGTTCAACTTAAGGATGCAAAATAATGAAAACTGACAAGACCATAAGGGTAGAAAAAAAAAAAAAAAACTCACTTGACTTATTCACTAAAATATAGACACAACAGGTGTTTTTCTAGACAATGTTTTCATAATGCCTATGACAGCACAATTATGCTGCTTGAATAGGTGGGCGATGGGTCAAAATGCACACGTGACTATTTATTGCACTAATGAGAGTAACTTTGGTGTTTCAGAGTTGGAAAAATACAAGTCCAAAGCAGACAATAATGCTTTAGAAGCTGTAAAGGTTTCCATAAAGGGCAGATGTGAGTCGAAAAATGAAAGTTTTTTTTTTTTACAAAATTACACATATTTTAGTTTTTTTTTTTTTTGCTTTCCCAAGTTGAGTTTCTCTACTTACCTGACAAAAAAAACCTGAAGATTGTAATTAAACTCATAGTAGGCTAAAATCGCTTTTGAAGAGCACAAAGTGATTATTAAAAAACAAAGAAGTGTGCATTGTCTCGAGTCCTATGGAAGTTGTCACCTGGTTGCTTGCCATTGCACTTCGCATGAGGGGCTCACTAAAGCCACATGCTCAAAAATTAACCATGATTGCCAATCTCTCATGATGGAGGCAATCATTTTAAAAAACATACTTTTGCCACATAGATGGGCTTTCACTTATATCTTTAAAATGAGTTTTTTCTGAAGATCCACTTTTGGGTAACATCTTGAGTTCGGACACTGTGTTTGTCGCACTTCTGATAACCCGATCGAGATGAATTTTTGGCTACATAATTAAAAGATGTAAAGGGAGCAAGTATCTCCTTTAAACCATGATATTGCCTGTATAATTATAGCTAACCTAAGGTAAGCAGTAAGTATGGGCTGAGGATTCTAAGAATTTTCACATCACAAATTTTTTGTTCCATTAAAATGTCTTTACACATTTTCTTTACAGTTATTTGTATTCTACAATTAATGTAGAGCAATATGAGATATGAATGGCTCAGAACCATGAAAGCTTAGTGGCATCAAAAGTTGGTTCAAAACAAACTATACTTTACAGATTGTCATGGCACAAAACGAAAGCTGTTCAACTTACTATGAAACTAATGACATATTTGAAAGCAGCATAAAAGTCTATATGTACGACCAAAATTTCGTTGCTCTAGACTTCAGATTAACGCAATTTTATTTTTTATTTGCATCTCCTCTTAAATGAAAGAAAACTATTGTTCACATGTAGCATACAGTTACTCAGAGTCATCTAAACCTGAGTACTTAAAAAAATATCTACATTCAATCCTTTGTGTATAATGCGCTCACTAAATTTTCAGAACACAGATAGGGCAGATTTCATGAGCGCTCCAAGTTCCTTGATGTCATTTCTTTTGCATACAATACAATGAAGTATGATTTAAAATTCCAGTAAAACACCCCATAAGCCTACGAAGTGAAACAAATTATCTTACACACACACAAAAAAAAAAAACATGGAAAGATTTTTCACTCTACAATAGAAATTGCACAAACTACACATTACAAAACAATTAAAACGACAATGTCGGTGAGTTAGTAACCCAGTTTGTGACACTAAGCAGCACAAATTGCAAAAAAATATATATAATTTGACGACACTTCTTCCATTAGACAGATTTAACACAGCTAGAGCAGAATTACTTTGCCCGCAGGATCACTTTTCCAAACCATTTATAACGTAAGTCTCCAGAATCGTGAATATAATTGAAGCAACTTATTACAAAGGCAGCACATGTGCGAAAAATCCTGAGTGAGCAGCCACACAGACCTGGGTGTTGAGCATCCATTTAAATTTGCAGATGTTGAAAGCTTAAATGTGGAGTGCCCGCATTGCTGATAAAATTAACACAGAAAAAGACAACCGCTAACAAAAGAAAGTGCAAGCACGGATAGTCAGCCCTAAATTCCTCAGACCTCCCCGATTATGCCAGCTTCTTTGTGAAACCACACTTCACAGTAACCATGTCAAACAGCAACAAAAATGCCGCACATTGCATGACACCTCTTCCAATTTTCCATGTGCGCATTGTGCCGAAAATGGCAAACCGCTATTTCATAGGTGCACATGCCATCCATTCCCTTGCCTTGGTTGACTATGCAATTCCTTCTTTTCTAAATAAGCTGGAAGTCAGCACAGTACAGCTTTGAAGAAACTTGCTTAGCTCAGTCATCAGTATATAACACTGTTGTCCTTCACATGTGAGTGCTAAGCACGTGCTGGGGCGGCCACTTCTAGATCGGGCTCGCAATCTACCATTAAAAGGGATGTTTACGCTTGGAGACTGACTGCATTTTTGCACAATGTCACGGTTCCCGTTTTTTTTTTTTTTTGTTGTTGTAGGCATTGACCTTGTGTACCGGCGTCTGCGCACTACTGAAGTACGTCTAAATTCATTTATTTCTTAATGCATGGTACTCTTAAATGCTAAAAAATAAGAAAAAAAATCCAATTTTCTTGGGCAATGAACTAAAATAACTGTGCACACGAATTCACATTTTCTTATTCAGTTTTCCATGAAAACAACACAAGACATTAGGTAAGCTTACTCAGGAAAGCTACGTTGCTGATAGCGCTTTAGTGCACTTGTTCTTACTTTAATAACCATATAAAAAAGTAGCTGTTGAACACACAGCTTTCTTTGATTAATTTTCTGTATGACAGTGAAGCAACATAGATTCGATTATTTGATGGGACAAAAGTATATATACTTTTTAAGCAAATAATGTCCGCTCCTTCCATCAGCCCATAACAACCTCACAAAAGCGCTCAATACAATGTGAAAAAAAAAATGACATTTTGCGTGAAATTGTATGACATATTAGTGAGGCACACGCCTAGATTAATTTGGACAATCTGGATTCTTTGAAATGAACTGAAATATAAGGGCACAAGTGTGCACACGTTTGCATAAATTGCGCCCAATGTTCAAATTGCACACAGAGACTCAAGTTTAATCACCTCCGTGTCATTCAATTTACTGTTCCTTATAAAAAAAAATTAAAGAATCCAAGAGTCAGAATTTACAAGACAGAAATATTTCCCTGTAGTGGAACCAGAACCGTATGATAAAAGGTTATCTTAAGCACAAACAAAGCTCACCACATAACGGATAAGCAACAGTGCCACTGTTAACAATGCAAAACTTTGTTTATCACTGAGTCGATAAAACACTTCATTCACACAATATTTAATACTCTTCATATTTGGGACGGCGCCAAGTGCACGTTATGCTGCGTTTCAACTACAAAGCAGCAACTACACCAAAATGATCCTTGCGAGCGAAGGGTACGACGACGATACACAGCACTCGCGGCAAGTGCACGAACTGATTTTATTGCAGTGCATATACGGCGTAGTAAGGACAAATATGTTTGTAGATCATGCTAAGCAAGCATACAAGCAGTTAAACTTGCACCTACAGAGCGGGACAAACAATCCTTTGAGGATGGGCGCAGGGGCAATCCGCATAAGGCGCACTTTAGCCAGTGACCACCAGGCAGCAACTCCGCCCGATTTCGGGGCGAATAGCGCCATCGACTGACAGGTAAATAAAACATGTTCACTTTTGGAGTCGTCCATCGGCAAAGAAAACTAGTTTTGACCGGCAGACATTTGCTGCTAAATCATGCACTCTTTCTGCTGTGGCAACCGGTGATGCCTGCAGAGAGCCTTCTGCTGCAAACAAATGGAGAGGGTGGTGCGAGCACAGTTCAAACGTCGAAGCTCTCTCTCGGCGTAACAAGTAGTGCTTCACCTAAACTATAACTATATAGGTGAAAGAAATGCATATAGGGAAAGAAATACATTCAGGCTGTGATTAGCTTTCTTATCAGGGCAGAATCCCAATAACCTGAAAAGTACTGGTCTGTCAGTGAAGAAAGTGCTCTGTGTTTTAGTATATTCGTATTTGATGCCCTAACGTCATGCACAGGCTCAACAGAAGAATAGCGCAAGTGACCGGTTGCCAGAGCACCAAGATAGGACCACGGGATGCTGTACTTTTCCTGAGAGCACCGATATCGAGAGGGCCAAGCACATTCCATTTTCCAAAGCAGAAGTTGTCGGCAAAAAGCACTCCAACAAGCAGTTTGGATAATGTCTGCATAGCCACATTCGCCAATAAGCAATGAACAAGAGTTTATTTAAGATGTGGCTTTTCAGATGGGCCAACAGAGAGATGGGCTGCTATGTAACAACCACCCTTCCTTTGCTATCTCGCTATCAGCATGCATGTGAACAACAACACTGCATGTCGGAATTATGTGGCTCCAGTCACTGTTCACTCGTACTAATCTTTTTCCATTGAGACTGTATGACCATGATGGCTGTGATGACTGCACAGGAGATGTCCCGTAACAAACATGAAGCGAAAAAACTTTTATGATGTTATAAAAAAGTTTAATGTGTCTGTAATGCAAAAGGCGCAAGCACATGGAGCACATTTTTCACGAGCATAGAGGGAGCATAATTTAATAGCACTTGTCCATCGTGTCCACCGGCCATAACTCTATTTTGTTTGCCAATAGATAACATCATAAGAAGACGTGTTTTCTTAAGCTGTCAGTTGATGGAAGCGTAGAAAGCTGCCGCGGAGCGCAGGCTATGTGCTCACATGTTCCCTTTCATAAAGAACGACAGTGGACATTACATTCTTGAATGCCAAAACAGCAATGAACCTCAGAAGGATAAACAGTAGCTACATATGAACACAGTACTTGCCTCGCGGTCATCAAGTAAAAGCAGGGTAGATAGATTAACATCCTCCCCCATCTCACTCAATGCCAACGTATGCTTGGACTTGGACCACGAATTAAGTGTAGCCTTGTCCAGAACAGGCTGCCTCTTCAGGCGCACGAAGTTAGTGTAGTCAGGGCGCACGTTCGAAAAGTCTAGATGGGGCGCAACCTTTTCAGCCTTCTTTCGCCCTCTTACTGGTCCTGTAGTCTTCACTGCACACAGAAATAAAAACATTATATCAGATACACAAATAACAATATCTAGGGTTTAACATCTCAAAACCACAATATGATAATGAAAGACACCTAGTGGAGGACTCCAAAAATTCTGACCACCTGGGTTTTTTTAATGTGCGCCTAAATCCAAGCATTTTCGCCTCCATCATGTCACATGCACTAAGGCATGATATATGTCCTCACAGAGTTTTCAAGATTATATAGTACCGCTTGTAATCGGCAAAGACCGGAACTTTATGCAAAATGGCAAATTTTTAGGCAAATTTTTTCCTCGAGTCCGTTTTGAGCCTATTTAATATATACACACGAACTAAAGAATGGGAAACTTTTTGAGCTTATAAGCACCTATTTCAGGGTTCGTGATTGACTGATTGATATGTGGGGTTTAATGTCCCAAAACCACCATATGATTATGAGAGACGCCGTAGTGGAGGGCTTCGGAAATTTTGAACACCTGGGGTTCATTAACGTGCACCCAAATCTGAGCACACGGGCCTACAACATTTCTGCTTCCACCAGAAATGCAGCCGCCGCAGCCAGGATTTGATCCTGCGACCTGCGGGACAGCAGCCGAGTACCTTAGCCACTAGACCACCGCGGCGGGGCTTTTTTTTTTTTTTAACATGTACTGTAACATTATCAGATTGAAACATATAGAAAGCTTAGTTACGGCTCAAGCTTTACTCTGAAGAGGCTGCATGCCACGACCATTCACAGAACAACGTACCTGGTGCTACTAATGATTGGTGTTTGACATCCTGAAACCACGATACGATTATGAGAGACGCCGTAGTAGAGGGCTCCAGAAATTTCAACCATCTGGTGTACCTTAGCATGCAATGAAATCGCATAGTACACGGGCCTCTACCATTTCGCCTCCATGGAAATGCAACCGCCATGGTCGGGATCGAACCTGCGAGTTTCGGGTCAGCAGCCAAGCACCCTAGCCCCTATTCCACCCAGACAGACAACGTCCTTGGAACAATATATTATTCTTACCTACTGAATGGTGCTATATGCAGAGGTGGTTCCTTTGAAATTTTAAGGGCACAGGGTAAGGCTAAATGTAAAGAAAAACATATATGTCCTTTTTTTTTGAAATTTGGGGAAAGGATTGCTTTCAAAAGCAAGCAGCGAGTGCGCACGCACCCTAAGACAGGCCTCTCATATGCACTCTGCATTTATGATCTATTTTTAACAAAAAAACTTGGTGTACAAAAGCCCATTATACTAAGGGTTGCCGCACAACGTGTTGTCCTCTTTGCCTTCCATTCCTCGCCTTCTGTTTGCCTCTCTTCCAGCACTTTCGTGCTTGCACGAAAGTGCTGGAAGGAATGAAAGTGCTCAGGAATGGAATGAAAGTGCTCTTATCACAATGGAATTTAACCAACTAGCTCAAACAGCCGTTATTCTTCAATGTACTAAAACCAAAATGCTTTTCTAGAGTCAGCTGCATATACGAAATTGCCGTGTAACTTCTAAGGCAATCCAAATATGCTGTGCGCCTTTTTATTTGCCCTTGTTAATCGAAGCGCATCTGTTCAAACTTTGAGTGCCTAGCTTCAGTACACCTTGTGCCTGTCCTGCCTGTCCGCAAGTTGAGACACTAAGGATAAAAAGACCTATAGAAAGTTTAAATACCATGGCAACCAATACAGTTCTCTTTTAAATGTAAATGCTGGAGACATATGGAGGTCTTCATCATTGAACCTCTCAGCCTTCTCAACATCCTTTCAGTGGAATTGCGTGCAAACTGCACAGTGAAATTGTTGAGCTCATGGGAATTGCGTCACAGAGTCCTTGCAGTCTTCGTTTAGACTTCAGAGTCTTACAGTATTGCAACATTGAATGTTGTTCATTTGTTTAAAGATGATAGTATCGCACAAGCCAAAATTCTGAAATAATTAGGATTGAAGCATGACTGAAATACAGTCAATTTGCCAGAAGAAGTTGACCATAATCGACAATACATTGCAGATAGAGCTGCATGACAGCTCACAAAAGAAGCAAGGCACGCAATAGGAGAGGCTCAAAAGTGAAAAAAGTTACTTTGGCAAGGATTAACAAGCCTGTAGCTATAAAGTAAAATAGCTGAACGGTGTTAGTGCCAAAGTATGTTAGCTCTTCAACTGGTTTCTAACTTTTATACTCTATTATATGAAAACCAGGTTTTTTATTACTTAGGTACCATTATTTTTTATTTATTCAAAGATAAATTATTATTTTTTCTTGTAGTCTGCATAAATGTATACAACTACTGTACCAGAATTGAAGTTATGCACTCTACAATTTTTGCGTTACTAATTTTCAATAATGCAATTTTGCTCATAGCTTAGGTACTAGTGGTAAAAAAATTCACCAAAATTCTAATATCAGTCAGATATAAATATAAATCTATCGCAGTTAAGCAGTTAAAAGAAGGGAAAATTTGGAACAAAGTTATATCTGAATTATGTTGAAACTTCTTTTAGTCCCTAAGAAGACGGTACCCTAAAATGCATCGAATGTAGAGGACTTTCCCTGTGCCGTTACGGTTAATGAGTCAGATAGCATTTATCATCACTTCACACCTTTCTCATTCCGCCTTCTGGCACAATCGCCTCATTCCTTTTGATTATTCGATGACTTATGCAACCGATAACACTAATCTCCTCGCATCTTCGCCACCAGGCCTCCACACACCAACCTTGCTTCTTTAAATACATTTCTTTTTTTCCTTGCTTGTAGGAAAATGATCTTTCACATAAATATTGCAAATGCTTTTTTCTAAACACAACACAGTTTTGAAGTATCTGTGCAAACTAGCAAACTCACGAAAGCGCATCAGACTCCGGCCACTTTTCTTATTTGGGACGTCTTTGCAATTTTTTCAAATTTTTTCCTTTTTTGAAAACAACATAAAAAGCTTGGATATACATAGTTCACAGCACTTCATATTAAAACCAGCAGAAAAAATATTTGTCACACCTGTAGTAGTTTGCCTTAAATTCTGCTGTGAAATTCAAAAATATTGCATTGAGCAAAAGCAAGACACCCATAGCCACCTTCAAATATTTTTTTGGTGCACTAAAAAGCATTTTCAGCTAAAAAAAAAATTTCGGCTTCTTGCACTTTGAATTTCCCACATAACATACAAAAATCACAGACAAAACGAAAATGTTGACAGGACATGCATGCTCAATATGTCATAGAATCACCCAATAGTCAAAGTGAAACTGTGCGTTTTGAAGCAGTTTGACCAGCTAAACGCTAAGTGGTCTTCTAAGGCCTGCATGCACTTCTAAGGCATTTACTAGGTACGTAGAAGAGAGCTAGTGTACAGTGACATGCGCACTAGCACTTTTGGAAACGAGGATAAGGATCAGCAAGTACTGCTGTAATGGACTCTGTAAAAGACAAGTCACTGAATCGGGCACACAGTGTTTGAAATAGAATGTGCGCAGTACACCGGGTGCTGCCTCACATAAACATAGGAAAAAACAACGGATTAAGTAGATGAATGTCAATCAAAAGTTACTTTTTGTTGTGTTCATTGAGACATAAGTATACTTTTTTTATTTACTGTAAATGAAACAACCCATAGAAGTATTACAGAGGATATTTTCCTGATGATGAAATCAGCCAATGCCCATGCTAGTCCAACAAGCTGCATAATTTGACATGGCGAGAGCAAGCAATTTTTGGTTGTCTCGGAAACAAAAATGTATATTCCCTACTGCATTCAGTTTCAGTGTAATAATATTTGGCCGAGACGTTCACACGGATCCTTGAAAACAGGTCAGCGAGGTTTTCCGGGTCTGCCCTCGGCCCTGCCGAGACGGACACTCCAGCCATCGGGACTCAATACTGCCCCAGTTGAAGTCATGCATGGCCCGTCAACATAAAATTTCAAATTCAAGATGGTTGTGTTGTTTCATTGGCCTGAATAGACAGGTACTTCTAGCGCTTTATTAGGGGCAAACATAGCCCTGAACATATTTCAATACAGTTCTGAGTAAGTGCCAGTGCCTGTTCGGGTCGGTAGCATCTCCCGATATAATCATCAATGTAATGCTTACAGCAGCTTCTTGAACTGCCTGTGCTTGATATAACATTCCGCAGGTACGGTATTCTTGAGGTCATAGACAAGCTTGTAGGATGTACACAGCGCCACATAAACTAGCCGGTGACAGGGGCTGTTATCTCTCCCCTTTCTCGCTAGGCTGTTCTCTATGCGGTTCTGGCTGCTTTTAATAGTGACGTGTTCAGTGGCATGAGACAGAAATTTGTTGTTGTTTCTGAATGGCAACAAACTATTGAACGTGAAGTTGGTGCTAGGCGAGCTGGCTGCCATGTGTCATGGTAAGTGTCCTAGAGAGACATTTTAGCAGAAGAACATGTCTGGGGTATTGCACCTGGCTAATATCACAGCATTTGCATCGTTTGAATGCTCCGCTCAGGTGGGGGCCCCGGATTCAAACGCATATGGTACTATTACAGCACTCTACCACAGTGGAGCCCTAGTTTCAGCGGATTATTGAAGTGAAGCCAAAATTGCTAATTAATGACACTAGCAATAACCGCATTACATTAGAGTACTTGCAAGACAATGACCCTCTGATTTAAGCACAAAAGGCACAAATAAAAATTAGGCTGTCAGTGGTCCTTCCAATCGTCCAGCAAGAGCCACTATCATAATAAAAATAACAGAAGTTGTGGACCATACAAAAGTACAACCACAAAATGAGACTTTTTGACAAGATTAAATTAACCAAGAAATTGAATCCTTGGATATCAAATAAGCTGAAGTAAAAGATAGTACTATGCGCACAACACTGGGCAAAGGCAGCACCTTTTGCTTTCCGTAGACGCCACTGTTCTGGTCCATGTGGTACACAGGAAAATTTGTTTGTGAAATAAGAGTAGTCTTGACGTACTGGAGCAATGTACTTGACAAGGTCTGATATGCCATCCCTGGGAGAAAGAGAAATATGTCCCTTATGATATAAACGAAAGGCTTGTATGCGCATTTTCATTATCCGGCAATCAAGTTCTTCAGCAACCATTTTTAATTTTTTACATTGACATTGGCAAACACAAACTCAGTATGTGAGCAAACACATACTTGATCAAGTCCTCGGGCCGCTCTGGACAGGGATCTTCAAAAACATGACCACACTGATCATCCTTGTCATTGCTGTTGCCTACATATGGCAGACTTGGCCCTTGCTCTTCTGTAACTGCAACACTGGCGTTCGGGCAGTGGAAGCCGTATGATGTGTCCATCAATCCCGGGAACTAGAATAAAAAAAAATAGGAGGAGGTGCAAGCCCATTAAGAAAAACATTAGAACAAAATCATTGTCTAGAAAACACACTTGAAAACTAGCAAACTTTCTACCATCATATCGGCCAGCCTCTTGCAGTCAAGATTTTTATTCTCACCTGTTTAGTCAAGCAGTACAAAATGCATCGTGAATCTACCAGAACACAAATACGGTGCTTACAAGAATTAACTGTAAACTTCGTAAAACTGCAGTAACATTTTGACCTGCCTTAGCTTCAGTGAAAATAAAAAAGAGACAAGAAAGTTGTGATTATTCTTGCACTCACACTTGATATGGCTTGTGTTTTACAAACACTAAAATATAGGTACAAAAGCTAGAAATCAAACCAGCTCATTTCGTATCAGGTACAAAACACAACAGTGTGAGCCATCACATTATGTACTGATTGGCCTGGGCACTTCAAAACATACACACGATCTATTTTGATTTTGCTTTTTGAGCTGATGTGCTCATTACAAACCGCAATACCACACGCACGCATGCGCGCGCGCGCGCACACACACACACACACACACACACACATTGTGAGGAACCGGTTTATTCAGCCAGGCTTGAGCTAAATCACACTGGTGATGATATTTACAGATGATGAAGATGTACAAGTGATGATGATATCTAAAGAGAATGAAGAGTCATTCGCTTGTCGCGCTCACACTAATTCCCCCCGCGCGGTGAAAGCGGCCGCCTGGTCGCTTGACAGTATTATGAAATGCGTCGCGCATAAGGCTTTAAACGAAATACATGCACTATCTCTGTTCCTCGGCAACGATGATCAGAATTAGCTTAAAAGGAGAAATGCGGCAATTGACAGGAGATGTCTCTTCGACCACCGTGTACGGCCCAATGAAGCGACTGATGAATTTGTCGCATAAACCGGGGACGCGTAGTGGAGTCCATAGAAGAACTTCGTCACCAGGGGAAAAACTCCCAACACTGCGAGACGAGTCCTAGCGAGATTTTCGAGTGTCTTGAGAGAGGCCGGTGTTAACACGGGCCTGGTGACGGCAGTGTGCGAGATGAGATAAAAATTCTTCAGAGAAAGGAGCCGTCGAGGGTGCAGGGGTCGAAAGGAAAGAGACATCGAGAGCGAAACTCGGCGAGTAACCATGGACAAGAAAAAATGGAGAAAAGCCGGTAGTGCGTTGAGCAGCCGTATTATAGGCGAATGTCACGAAGGGTAGAATTGCATCCCAGTTCGTGCGGTTGGGGTGAATGTACATGGCGTTCATGTCCGATAGGGTCCGATGAAACTGTTCAGTCAGTCCGTTGGTCTGCGGGTGGTAGCTAGAAGTGGTCTTGTGAACAGTGTTCGAGGAACGCAAAACTTGCTTGACAACGGAAGAGAGAAAGACTGCCACGATCACTCAGGAGAATCCGTGGAGCTCCATGACGCAAAAAAATGTGGCAAAGAAAGAAATCATCGACCTCAGTGGCAGTTCCAAATGGTATAGAAGCTGTTTCTGCGTAGCGGGTAAGGTGCTGAACGGCCGTCACAATCCAGCGATTTTCATTGGATAATATAGAAAGAGGGCCATACAAGTCAATTCCAACGGCTTCAAAAGGCGAGGCGAGACATGGAAGAGGTTGCATTAAGCCAGCCGGAGCAGTTGTTGGTCGTTTTCGCTGTTGGCAATGGACACACGAGACAACGTACTTAGCAACGGCTGAAGAGAGGCCAGGCCAAAAACAACGACTTCGTATTTTTTCGCAAGTCTTGTGATAGCCAAGATGAGCGGCAGTTGGATCATCATGAAAGGCTTCCAGAACTTCACGTTGCAGAGAGCGTGGGATGACGGGTACCCACTTGTTGCCATCGATGTTGTAAATGTAGCGGTATAAAGCACCACTGACAAGCGTAAATTGTTCAAGTTGACGACGGAGTCTGGCGTTTGGAGGAGTGGTAGAGCCGGTCAAGCGGTCAACAATGGTGCGGCAGTATGGGTCGACACGTGAAGCAAGGACGGATAGGGTGGCAGGTGATGAACTCAGCGCTGCGATTGGAGAGGTGCTGTCGTTTTGGAGTATCGATGATGAGTGGCTTCCGCTGGGCAAAGGACAGCGCGATAGAGCATCAGCATCTTGATGCTTCTTCCCAGATCTGTAGGAGACATCAAAATCATACTCCTGCAACCGAAGCATCCAGCGACCAAGGCGACCCGATAAGTTTTTCAGCGATGAAAGCCAGCATACGGTGTTATGGTCGGTAACGACGGTAAAATGACGGCCGTGAAGATATGGTCGGAATCTTTGCACTGCCCAAACAACAGCAAGGCAATCCTGCCTGGTGATAGTGTAGTTCTTTTCTGGCGCGACTTGCATAAGCAACAACACGTTCGCCTGAGTTTTTGTCACGCTGCAAGAGTACCGCACCTAGATCATGACTACTTGCGTCGGTGTGAAGGATGGTGGGTGCGGTGGAATCGAAGTGGCACAGTACCAGATCCAACGTGAGGGCTTGCTTCAATGCCCTGAAAGCCCATTCGGACCAAATAAAGGGGAGGTTCCTTGCAAGTAGTTAGTGGAGCGGAGACGCAAGTTCCTCGAAGCCACGTATTAAGCGACGGAAATAAGAAGATAACCCAAGAAAGCTGCGCAGGTCTTTTTGACAAAGTGGACGAGGAAAATAGAGGACGGCGGCAAGCTTCTCGGGGTCCAGCCAATTTCCTTCTTTGCTGACGAGGTGGCCGAGAACCAGGATTGTCTTGCTAGCAAAGGTACATTTCTTGGTGTTGAGCTGTAGACCGGCTTTTGCAAGGCATGTGAGGACTTCGTCAAGACGTAGATGCTGCGAGAACGTGGATGAAAACACTACTATGTCATCAAGACAGCACAGACACGTTTTCCATTTCAAACCACGCAATACACCGTTTATCATGCATTCGAAGGTGGCGGGAACATTACAGAGTCCAAAAGGCATCACATTAAACTCGTACAACCCATCTGGCGTTGAAAAAACGGTCTTCTCTTCATCAGACTCCGATATTGGTATCTGCCAGTAGCCTGACCTAAGGTCGAGGGTAGAAAAATACTCCGCACCCTGTAATGAATCCGGTGCATCGTCGATCCGAGGGAGAGGATAAACATCCTTGCACGTTATTTTGTTTAGCGCACGGTAATCGACGCAGAAACGCACTGTCCCATCTTTTTTTTGAACAAACAACTGGGGATGACCAGGGACTCGAGGAAGGACGTATGATGTTGCGTCGTAGCATGTCTGAGAGGTTTTCCTCGATGATCTTGCGTTCTGCCTAAGACACGCGATATGGACGCCAATGTACATTACGAGAGCCGTCAGTCTGGATGCCGCTAGTAGTGGTGGTAGTCATGCTGAGGGCGGGCGAGTTCACATAAATTAGAGAACGGTGTCTATTCAACAGGGCGAGTAAATCTTCAGTTTGTTCAGGTGTTAAGTCAGTGCTTATGGTTGCCGACATTGGTGTGGAAGAAGCATTGAATGGCAGTGATTGTGACTTTGGGACATTGTTGTGGTTGTTGTTCGGAAGAGTAACAATTGCAACAGGCTCACTGTCGACCGCGCAAGATACTGTTGAGCCACAGGGGAGCAGTGCACACTCAGGCGTTTGATTTATGGCGGTTAGGTAGGTAGACCCATCGAAGAAGCGAATAAGCCCTGGTGTGACCACAATGCCCCTAAGTATGGTATGGCCATAAGGGAGAATTAGTACGTCACCATCCACAATTTCGGTGCAATTAACACTTGTAATTTCTTCGATTGATTGATATGTGGGGTTTAACGTCCCAAAACCACCATATGATTATGAGAGACGCCGTAGTGGAGGGCTCAGGAAATTTCGACCACCTGGAGTTCTTTAACGTGCACCCAAATCTGAACACACGGGCCTACAACATTTCCGCCTCCATCGGAAATGCAGCCACCACAGCCGGGATTCGAACCCGCGACCTGCGGGTCAGCAGCCGAGTACCTTAGCCACTAGACCACCGCGGCGGGGCGCAATTTCTTCGATGTATGGCCGAAGTACATAATCTGACGTGGTGACAAGGCGGATGCGTTCATCGTGTTCAAGCGGAGAAGAGTCAGTGGCATTTAGATGCAGGAGATGCTGATGACAACATATGAAAGCGGACGCAGAAGACAAGAAATACCACCCCAGAATGAGAGCGTGGGTGCACTCACGAAATACCGCGAAAACGATGTGATGACGTAAGCCTTCCTTAGAGACACGAACGGTACACTGTGCAAGTGGATGAATGAGAGCATTGGTCGCCGCACCGAGAGGCGGGCCGCCATAAGGCGTGGTGACTTTTCCAAGACGGGAACAAAAATCAGCACAAATAATTGAAACGGCAGCGCCAGTGTCTACAAGAGCCTCAACGCGTACAGCTTCAACAAACACTACTATCAAATTCGATGGCAGCTCTGGAGGAATTGTTAGCTGTCCGGTGGATGCAGTTTCCCCTCCTAAAACTGCATTGGGGAGTTTTCCACGTGGGCGTTCGTGGAATGGGAGGCGGGCCGCAGAAGCGTCACTGAACGGCGACCTGCGGCGAGACGTACGGAAATTCCCAGGCATGTCAGTACTGTAACTAGGAGATGGTGAACGGTAATAGGACAATCGGGAGGGTGGTCGGACGGAAGCTTCGTTGTTCTTCAGGAGCGTAGCCACGTTGCTCGTCTTGTTGGCGCCTTTGACAAAACCGATCGATATGTCCTCGGTAGCCGCAGTAGTAACAGATTGGTTGAGGTGGGTGCTGAGGTGCGTAGTAAGGCGGTGCATGCACTGGCAGTGACAACGAAGCCACAGGCGTATGGTCTGCTGGTGTAGGCACAGAAACGGTGGGTGCGGCAGAGAGCACGGCAACTTCGGCATACGTGCGCGTCTGGCGCACGCAGGGACCGTTGGAACAAGTTGGACGCGATCTCTTCTTTAATCAGGTCTCGCAAGCTATCTTTTTCAGAAGGAAGAGTAAC